TCTCGTGAATCCAAATTCCTCCAAGGTGTTGTACAAGTGCCCATGTATGCTAACTCTGATTAAGTAAGAGAATGTTTTGTGTAATTTGAGTCGGAGAAGAAATCTTGTAAGATTGTAATAATTTTCACATAATTTTTTTTTTTTTTGGRCAGTAGTTTTTTCTCTAACTTGGAGTTTTCTAATTATTTTCTTTGACTTCTAAGTTATTTTCTACTTCTCCCTGGGTCTAGAAGCTAGAGATTTTTTCCCATAAATACCCTCCTCCCCTATCTTCTTTTACTATCTCAATCCAGTGAATTCTAAGAATAGATAGATTTGTTAGGTTCAATTAACAATGAGTCAAAAGATCACACCAATATCATTTTTTTTTCTATTTATTCCAAGACAATGATTCCACAATCCTTTAGTCAAAATCAAGGAACATTGTTGAAAGAATGTCAAACTCCATACTCCCCTTTTATCTCTCTAATTTATATAGTTTCTATCCTAGTCGAGTTAAAACAACTCGTTATTTTGAATTTGATCCTCATGGCCATCAAATTATTTTTATGGTTTGAGTCCAATTTCAATTTGATCTTTATGATTTTGAAAGTTTCAATTCGATGTTTGTGTTTTGGTTGAACTTCACAAGTCATCCTTACCATTATAAATTGTTATCATAGTGTATATATGACACATCTTCTATTGACATGACAATGTACTAATATTTATCTATTTGGATGACCATATTGAGGTTTAGGGCTTTATTTTTTAGGTTTAAATTTAACCAAATGATTGAAACAGAATAAAAACTAAACCCAAATTATAGGAACTAAATTCAAACTTCCACAACATTCTTTTTTTTAGTTCAGGAGTGGGATATTGGACTCTCAAGTGTCAACATTTGTGGTTGTTTGAAAGTACTCTTCTTAAATAGGGCAATCCAATCAGAACGTAACTAACAAAAGGAAATATAAGATAGGGTTAAAACAAGTACTTCAACACTGTAGTTTATATATTGGTTCACCTAAAATTCAAGACTATGTTCAGTCTTCTGCAATAGTAGGTTCTACTTGTGATGTGAGGATTACGATGAGTCTCTCTCACACAAGGCTACCACAACAATGGTTAATTAAGATTCACATGAAAGTATCCTTGCTAATCTCACGAGAACGTGGTGCCAACAAAGCTCTACATCATTCTCCTTTTCTCTCTCGAAAACCACTGCTGCTACTTCCTCCTTTATGCTTTTGAAAAACCTAGAACAAAACAAAGTTTATATAGTTTTATCATCATAACGCCAACTATACTAGGGTGCAAGAAGTGCAACATAAAGTCTGCATTAGCTAGGGAATGACGATCCGTGTTATAAAGGTGAGAGTAATATAATTATCTCCAAAAGCAAAGTCATGAAGGTTATGTCTGAAGTACACACTATCATTCTATTACAGAGATACGTGGAGATCTATTGTCCTTAAAATACCATAATAGTGTGTCCATAGCACCATCATCTGTGTATGGACAAGTCACAACATTTATTTATTGGGTCCACTAGTTCTGAAACCGTATTTTAACTCTATTATCATGACATAAATATTAATAAATATCTTATTCATTGAACTACAGTAACCAAACTCTAATTTAAGGAGACAAAAAAGGATGGAACTAACTTAAATTTTGGAACATGGGTGGAACCAACCCCTAAACTAAATATGGGCCAATATACTAATCATAGACGTATTGATGAGTGAGCACATCCACATCCACCCAAAAGGTCAAAGACTTGGATGTGAAAGTTGAGCGCAAGAATCCAAGAAAGGGCCAAATGGGTAATGGACCCTACAATTCTTTTTTTTTTTTTGGGTTTTTTGTCAATATAGAGTGGTCAAAATCAATCATTTATTGGAAGGGGAGAGAGATGGCATTAAATTGTTCATATAAAATGTTTGAAAGTGAAAGTTGATGATTGGTTTTGGTTCAAGTTTGAATAGGAAAAAGAACAGAGAGGACAAGAATGTCAGAAACAAAAGAAAGGAAAGTAATTGTAAAAGAAAACTTGTACGAAACAAACACAACTCTCCCATAAAACTAAAGAAAAAAGTAGCGCCTAACTTCTTATTAT